TTAGGTGCCGAAAAACTGGGAAGCATGGCGATGAGATATCACTTCTGCCTGGTGGCTTCAGCTCTATTTCTGGGATTACATCCTAAATAGCAATTAGTTAATTAGTTATTAATTATTCAGCAACCTCACGCAGCCAGTGAATCTCACCGTTAAACTACGGTAATAGCTTGATTTCTTGAAACCTGGAGGTGTGATTAAAGCCTTGATGTCCACTTTTCCAAGTGCAAATCGGAGTTCTTCCGATTGATAAGAGGGGTTTATATTTACCTGAATATGATAGATATGGTAAGCAAAGACAAAAACCAAAGTTTACCCGAACATCGAAAGTTTTTTTAGAGGTTTGTGATCAGTGTCACTACTCTGGTTTGCTTATAGAAACATAATCAATCCCCAGTATTACCCAAAGGGTAAATGGTAACTTTACATGGTTTAGATTGCAATTCCCTCCTTCTGACTTATCTTTCTCATATAAATAGAAGTTTCAAGAAAACTGGCAACTTACTAGCACCATTCCACCCAATGCGGTTGCAAATTGTGTGGTAACCCATTCGTAGGTGTTGGGGCCCCAAATCCCGACACGATCACCCTTCTCCAGACCTAGATGGATTAGGCCACAAGCAAGACGCTCAGCCTGAAACACTCTTTTGAGCTTCATGGTCTGAAAATCTAAATTATAAAAAACTCACATCCTTTAATAATTGGAGATAGGTACGTCGAATGTTCTCCCGTTTAAATATCACAAATTCTTTGTTTGGGGTCTGAAAGGAGGATAACTGATTTATGGGTTTTTCTTGATGGGTAACTCATGACAGCAATAGTCTTCAACTTGAAGATGATTTAACTACAATTTCAAATAATTATGAAGATAAAGTACGCATTTCTGCAATATGAACATCTCAGGCCTTTGCTAACCAATCGGTAAGTAATTTAGCAGTGACAAGTTTATTGCCTGCATTTGGAAGATTCAGGGGCTTTAACGACTCAGTTTTATTTATTTTTTTGACA